GCTCCAATTCGGAAGCATCCACTTCCGGCGAGGAATGGTTTTAATCGACTGTGAAACTCCACAGTCAGCAGAATGGCACAGGACAAAAATCCCACACCTGAGCAACTGGAAGGGAGTGGAGCTGGAGGTATGTGTGGGAGACGACATCCCGAAAGCACATACAGCCACGCTCTTTCTCCCAAAAAGTCAAGGGCAGCCTGTAGAGAAGCTTCTGTAGAAGCGCAGAATGTGGGGCTATCGAACACACTGTGGAAAAACGTCAGCCAAAAAGACGGGGGTAAAAGCCAGATCCTTAGGTTAGGAATAGATGACCTATTCTGCCAACGGATCGAGGATAATGGATGGACTATCCACTATTAATTCGGGGAAATCCCCATACACGGCCTTCTAAAGAAAGAGGAAATAAAGAAACTGGGAGAAACAACAGAACCAACTTCTAGTACTTCCAAAGATGAGACTGATGTGGAGAGTATAGAGAGCCTTAACCGCTCAAATCTCTGCGTAGACTTATCTGAGGATGTAGAAATTGATAAAGAAGCAGAAGAGGAGGATATGGAACGCACCCTCACCGATGGGGACAACAACCAAATTAAAGAAGAGTAAAATGGCGGCCATCGACTTCGCTCAAGTGAATGTCCATCACGCCAAGGGAGGCTCGGCTGTGATCTCCAGGACATTCACTAAAGATCAATTAGGGATCGTACTGATTCAGGAACCGTGGGTCTATGGAAACCAGGTAACAGGACTTGCATGTAAGGATGCAAGGGTAATTTATCACACTAGCGATGAAGTACCCAGAACATGCATAATGGTAAGAAGTAATATTAAATATTTTTGTCTTTCAGAATTCATGACGCGTGATCTCGTTCCAATTCAAGCATACCTGGAGTTAGGAATGAGGTGGCAAGACAGAGTAATAGCTTCTAGTTACTTCGTCGGAGATGGGCATGTACCACCCCCGGAAGTATCGAGGCTAGTGGAGTACTGCCAGAGAAGACATCTGCCATTACTTTTTGGATGAAACGCCAACGCGCACAGTACCGTATGGGGAAGCAATGACTCCAATCAAAGAGGTGAGAAACTTTTAGAATATATTTTTAATAAGAACCTTATTGTGCAAAATATTGGGAATACTCCAACAAGTGAGGTATTAGACATCACATTAGGCACACCGAGCATTAAATATCTAGTTAAAAACTGGAGTGTATCTAGTGAACTATCTCTATCTGATCACAAGATAAGTGTGTTTACGTTAGAGAGCGACATTCCTGAGACGATCCTCAGAAGGAATCCTAGAAAAACATACTGGGACAAATACAACACCATTCTAAAACAAAATTCAGCACGTATCCAGACAAAAAGGGGCCCGGGCACCCACTTGCTCTGGAATACTCGAGGCATATGAATCAAGCTGCCCCATTCAAATAAATAGAACTAGTAGGGATGCTCCTTGGTGGAACCGTCATCAGTCAAACTTACGATTCAAAGTGCGGAAGCTCTATAATAGGGCCAAGCACAGCGAAGTTTGGCAGAGCTACACCGAAGCGCTTACTACCTACAACAAAGAAATCAGGAAAGCTAAACGTAACAGCTTTAGAAAATTCTGCGAGGATATTAACTCTACACCTGCGGTAGCGAGACTGCACAGGGTCCTGGCAAAAGGGAGAGTTGATACAGTTATGGCATTAAGGAAACCAAATGGAAGCTTCACGGAGAGTGAGGAGGAAAGAGCTCGCCTCTTACTCGAAACTCACTTTCCTGGAAGCACACCTTTTCTAATAAGGAACACAACTAAGGTAAGCAGGCCCCCAAGAGAGGCCGCTGTACTGGCCAAATACATATGCAGGAGAAACCGGTTAGAGGGGGCCGTAAACACTTTTAAACCGTTTAAGTCTCCAGGTGTGGATGGAATATTTTCTGCCCTGTTTTAGCAGGCACAGGAGGAATTACTACCACACATAATCCAGCTATCCTGGAGCAGTCTGGAGTTGGGATATATACCAGAAGCATGGAGAAGGGGCAGAGTCACCTTTATTCCAAAAGTAGGGAAAAAGGATACCACACATCCTAAATCCTTCCGACCAATCAGCCTCGCATCCTTTGTATTAAAAATAATGGAGATGGCTTATGATAATTATATTAGAACGGAAGCCCTGGAGAGGGTACCACTGCACCACAGCTAACACGCGTACCGAGCAGGAAGATCTACAAAAACTGCCCTGGTACAGTTGACTGACGTAATCCAGGATGCACTGACAAACAAAGAAACGGTCGTGTGTGTCTTCCTAGAAGACATAGAAGGAGCCTCTGACAACACGCCACACGAATCTGTAAAAAGAGCACTTGCATACAGAGAAGTAGATAACATCACATCCAGCTGGATGGCTCAGCTGTTATCTACGAGAACTGCAGAGACACAGATAGGGCAGGACACCATGGCCATCTGCACAATCAGAAGATGTCCACAAGGAGGAGTTCTATCCCCACTAATGTGGAGCCT